ATTCATGCATGAGTAGGGTCCCTAGTGGCTGTCGGCTGCCAGCCAGGGCCTCCCTTCACATCCACCTTGGCCTGGCACCACCTGCTCACCTGCTCCATCATCCCACGAAGGTCCTGCTCTCATTAGGGCCCATTGGGGGCCAGCAGCGCCTCCACTGCCGCCCACTGCCAGCGCTGCGTCACCAACGACCGCCATGTTCCATGCCAACCCCTGGTGGTCAGTGCACATCTAACTCCTGGTCGGTCAAACTCTCACCCATGGGCACAATTTGCATATTACCTTTTTATTATATAGGATACTTTTATGCCATTAGTATGCATTCCTAAATAACATATATCATAGTCTTTTCATGTTTCTAAAACTAAGTGTTTCAAATAAACTGACACTTTTGCAACTTTTTTCTTCTTTTTTTATGATCACTGTTTGTGAGATTCACCCATCTTAATATAGAAGCATCTGTAATAACATTTCCACTGCATAATTCCATTGTACCAATATATAACCCATTTTTCTATTGACAAAAGGATTGCTGTGCCATTACAAATAATATTATTCTAATGTTTTTATACCTGTGTTCACATGAGAGATTCCCTAGGCTATACTTAGAAGTGAAATTTCTGGTTCAAAAGGTATGTGCATCTTCAACTACATTAGATATTAAAAAATTGTTTTAATAGAGGTCAAATTCACATCCTTCTCAACCTTTTTAATATATAGTTTTATTGATTTCAGAGAGGAACAGAGTGGGAGAGAGAGATACAAACACCAATGATGAGAGAGAAACATTGATCAGCTGCTTCCTGCATGTCCCACACTGAGGATCGAGCCCGCAACCCGGGCATGTGCCCTGCCCGGAAATGGAACCGTGACCTCGTAGGTTGCCGCCCAACCACTGAGCTTACCTGGCCAGGTCCTTCTCAACTTTTTTAACAGACATTACCAAACATAAATTTCAATTCCAATAATGCTTGATTCTAGGTGGATCCGCATTCCAGAAGACATTAAAAGAAGTTTGTTTTTTGTCCACAATTATGTCTTATTTCTTCAACCCAAGTAATTAGCTAAGGTAATCACATCAGAGTCAAACTGACCAAATGTAGCTTTTCTTATCTTCAGTGTGCCCATCTTGAAAAGTACAGAGTTCTCAACTCTTCTTGAGAGCAAATTTGGAAAAATCTACCAAAAGCCTTAAAAATTGACTCATCTTTGATTCAGAGGTATCTAGAAATTTACTCTAAGGACATATTCAGAGGTACACATAAAAATTTATATATTAAGAAATTTGCCTTAGTAAGTTAAATATGATGTCCACTGCAATACTGTTGGTGCAAACAAACAAAATATCAGGTGGGAACTAAATAAATGGTTGTATATTCACATAATTTTACACTAAGTGGAAATTTAAAAGAACGAGGTGGATGAAATAAACATATATTATTGTTAATAATTGCTACAGAACAAACCATTCAAATATGAAGAAATTATTCATTATTTCTCCAGATGCGGTACACTGACTGGAAGTAGTCTTTTACTCTAGGTTTTGGCTGGGGCCACTCGCAGTGCTGCATTCAGCTGCCAGGTGAACTGGGATGGGCACATCCAAAACGACCTCACTTACATATCTGCCATTAGGTATTGACTGTCACCTGAAACACCTTAGCTCCCCTCCATGAAGCTGCTCTCCACCTAGAAAAATAGATCAGTTTCCTTAGAACATGATAGCTGGGTTCTAAGGAGTGAGCCAAAAGGACAAGCCCCACTGTGCATGTTCTCACCAAGCCTCTGCTTGTATCAAGCTTACTAATGTCCCACTGGCCAAAGCAAGACACGTGGTCAAGCCCAGACACAATGTGAAAGACTAGTACACAAGGGTATGAATTATAGGAAGCACAATCTATCCGGAGTTACTAATGTAACAATTTACCACAACTATTAAGTGAAAAAGCAGAATTGTATATTAGGATAGCCATTGTCTTAAAAATGTTTGCAAAAACTGTACCTGTAACAATATAAAACAAACAGTGTTTGAAACAGTGAAGTGAAATTTCCATGGGATGTGGTAGTGAAAAAGAGATTTTTTAATAGATGTATGTGTGTTGCTTGAACTTTTTATAATCATATTATAAAAAGCCAATGACGGTAACGCCATAATGCCGTAATGACCAAACGACCAGTCACCAAGAGGTGCAGTAACGGATCTCGCAGGGCGGTGGGTCTCGGTCTCACAGTGCAGCGGTCTGGGGTCCCGTCAGCGCAGCAGGTCTGGGGTCAAAGTGCTGGGAAAACTCAATGTCCTCGCTGCTTTCACAAGCTACTGGCAAGATTTGGGGCCTTCAAATGAACCTGGGGTTTACCTAAGGTTGGAAGATGCCCAGTCCCCACACAGAGTGACTCGGTGCCGGGGCAAAAGGGCCAGGAAATGGTAACAGCTTTGGCGCTAGCTTTTTTCAGGTCTATATCCACAGCACTCAGGTAAGAGTCAGAGCCCCGCATGGCAGGTCTGGGTCTCGTGTGATTTCACACACTCGGCCTCTAGTAATCACCCTGTATAATAAGAGAGGAATATGCTAATTAGCCATTACACCCTGAGGCATAACGACCAAGTGAGTCACAACCAGAACACGAATCAGCAGGAGGGTGTGCCAGCAAGGTACAAGTGGGCTGCAGAGAGCTACAGGAGGAGGCAGGGCAGCAAGCTATGAGGGGGGGTGGGGGTGAAGGAGGACAGGGGGAGCTACAGGAGGGTGGCAGCGGGTGGAGAGCTACAGGAGGGCAACAGCGACCTATTGGCTACAAGTAGGCGGCAGAGAGCTACAGGACGGGGCAGGGCAGCAAGCAAGTGGGAGGTGGAGATAGAGGAGAGGGGGCAGGGCAAGAAGCTATGGGGGGGGGGGTTTTTTTAACAAGCTATGAGGGGGGGAGGGTGAAGGAGGACAGGGGGAGCTACAGGAGGGCGGCAGCGGGTGGAGAGCTACAGGAGGGCAACAGAGACCTATTGGCTACAAACAGGCGGCAGAGAGCTACAGGACGGGGCAGGGCAGCAAGCAAGCGGGAGGTGGAGAGCTACAGGAGATGGCGGGGCAACAAGCTATGGGGCGGGGGGGACAGGGGGAGCTACAGGAGGGCAGAGCAGCGGACAGAGAGCTACAGGAGGGCAGGGCAGTAGGCAGAGAGCTACAGGAGGGCAGCAGTGACCTATTGGTGCACGGATTCGTGCACAAGGCTACTAGTATATTTAATAATTTTAAAACCACTAAAAGAAATGAAGTTGTAAAAGAATAATTACATAAATGAACATTCATACTATGTCAATTGAAAAAAATACTAATGGTGTTAATTTCTGGATGAAAACATTGTGAACAATTTATTTCCTCTTCATAATCCTATATCTTCTACATTTTGTATGAGGAATACACACAAATTTTAAAATTAGAAAAAAAAACTAAAGAGGAAACCATTGGTCAAACCATTGGTCAAGTATTTCTTATTCTTTATGCAAATATTTCCAAGTGTTCTAACATTATTTTATCTCTTTATGTTACCAAAATACTCATATGTCTAACAGCAACAAAATTTCCCAGTGGCTAAGTGAAAAATTTATGTGTGAATTTATTATGCTTCATGTTTTGCAATCTAATAAGATCATGAAGCAACTGTAACTGCTCCATGATGACGGGTTTTTCCGAATTTGCATTTTGGGTTTCCCAAACTCAAATCCCTATTTGCTAACTTCTGAGGCACTTTCTGATGAAGCACTTTCCCATTTGTGTGCAGCTGTCATCATGTCTTAGCCATGTTATTAGGTCTTGGACAGCTAGGCAAAGTGCATTTTCTTCCTTTACTGGTTTTTTAGGATAGAATTTTCTCCCTAACATTCAATTGCTTTTAAATACACAAATATGATATTGTGCATGATTCATTTATTTTAGAAAATGGACATCCTTAATATTGTCTGGTCACATTAAACTAAATGTACAGTACTCTACTAGTATATGATGGAAAAATCAAGACAGTCTGCTATTTTAATGGAGAATTTAAAAAATTAGACATTATGTTTTATATATTAATCAAATTCAAAAAATTCTATTTAGATTTAACCTTGTTTATTATTATTATTTATTTAAACTTTAAGACACAAAACAAACAATGGGGTGGTGAGGACCTGGGGTGGGGAAAATGGGAGCGGGCTGGAAGAGGTTAATGGGGGGGAAAGGAGGACCTATATAATACTTTCAACAACAAAAATTTTAAAAAATACAAAACAAATTTAGATATTGTTTATTAATACATCCCATACATAGTGAAAATAATAAACTGTTTCAGATTTATTATTTTTACTATGTGTGTTATGGAGATGGAGGTTTCTTTAGCTGTATCCTGTATAATAAAAGGCTAATATGCAAATCGACCAAACAGCAGAACGACTGGTCAGGTGCTCGATGCAGAAGCTGCTCCCTGGTAGTCAGTGCACTGCCACAAGGGGAGCACCGTTCAGCCAGAAGCCCTGAGCAGGGCTAAGGGCTGGCGAGTGCAGCGACAGTGGTGGCAACCTCTCCCACCTCCATGGCAACGCTAAAGATGTCCCATGGGGAGCAGGCCTAAGCGGTCAGTCGGACATCCCCTGAGGGCTCCTGCATTGAGAGAGGGTGAAGGCCAGGCTGAGGGACACCCCCATCTGCTGAGTGCATGAATTTTGTGCATGGGGCCTCTAGTCTATAATATTTTCATAAGAAAAAGAGGGCAAACTAAAAGAACTGTAAGATCTGGGTGACAGAAAAATAACCCTCTGTTATATTATATTCTGTATGTTGAAGTACACTTGTAACATACCTGACTTGGTAGCCAGAGTTTTTTGTTTGTTTGTTTGTTTGTTTGTTTTCAGAGATGGGGTCTCGCTATGTTGCCCAGGCTAGAGTGCAGTGGCTATTCACAGGCACGATCCCACTCCTGATCAGCACGGGAGCTTTGACCTGCTCCGTCTCTGACGTGGGCCGGTTCACCCCTCCTTAGGCAACCTGGTGGCCCCCCGCTTCCGGGAGGTCACCATATTGATGCCGAACTTAGTGCGGACACCCGATCGGCATAGCGCACTACAGCCCAGAACTCCTGGGCTCAAGCGATCCTCCAGCCTCAGCCTCCCGAGTAGCTGGGACTGCAGGCGCGCGCCACCACGCCCGGCTAATTAAAACATTTTTAATTAGAAACATAAAAAGTAATTTCACTACAGCTGGTGCCATCATCAGGATTGCTAAGGCAGCACAGCTAATGGAGTGACTCCTGAAATAAGCCAGGCCCAAAAAAGAATCATATGCTCCACAACATAGTCATGCCTGGGTTATTTTTTGGCCAAGAATTTGATCCAAAACTTGTATACAACAGGACTGCACTTTCTTAATATGTTGTCTCCAGGGCAAAAAGTAAGTCCCCGATTTTGGCAATGTGTGCTTGCTTTTTAGACTCTTGGTGGAAAATCAAACTCTCTCCTTTTGGGACTGGAGCCTGGGTAGAGGGAGCCTTATTAGAATCCAGACAAATCTCCAGACCCTGGAATTTGCTTGGCAAAGACAAAGTATGAAGGGTGGAAACTTTTCTTCCTGTGTCCACAGTTGGTTTTTCCCAAAGATGGGGAAAAGATACCAACTGGAGATTTGAAGGAGAGATCTGTAAGATCATGAAGCATGCAGGTTTTTCCGAATTTGCATTTTTGGTTTATAAGAGATTACATTTTAGCAAATATAGGAATATGCAATTTATATAACATCATAACTTCTGGAATTCCTATGCTGTATTAGACATAAGATTCCCCTGTCCTTCAGTGAAAGAAGGGCACTTATCATGTGCATATGGTCTGGGGGAGGCAAGCAAGGCTTCCTTCTGGGAAAGTAATGGTAATTATATCCGAATTATGGTTCAGGGTGGGGACAGCCTTACAATTATATAGATAGAGGATCTCAAGGGGAGATTCACTCACCAAGCTCTATCGACTACCACAGAGAGCATGGTCACCATCCTTCTAATCAAGTTCTCCAAATTCCCTATTAACTGATCTCTCTGTTAGACTGGTGTCCCAATCTGGTGGATGATTATGATTTCCAATCGCTTTTTTTAATATAACAGGTTCTCTGCCTCCACACCGTCCCCTCATGCCTAATACCCCCTTTTGAAACTTCAGCAATATGGCTGTTGTTTGCGGGCAGGGGGTGGGGGGGGGAGGGTTATGCATGTGTTATGTGTGAGTATGGTATATATGTGGTGTGTGTATGTGTGTGTGTGTGTGTGTGTGTGTGTATGTGTGGTGTGTGTGTGTGTGGTGGTGTGTGTGTGTGTGTGTGTGTGTGTGTAAGCTCCCAAATGGTTTTGTTACATTCTGTCCTTGGACCTTGGACTGGAAAAATACTTCACTTAGACTAAAAATTATTTATTACTGACACATTTCAGAGATTTGCCTCCACAAGCATTCTTCATTACTAATGTAGCAAGAAACCATTTTCTATTGCTAGAGATGTGTCTGCACCTGAGCAAGCAAGCTGGGAAACTGTTATTAGGAAGATGGTAAGTAGTTTCTGCATTTTAGAGCAAAAATTGGTCCTGGTTCTTGGACTGACTCTCTAACTTGTCTAGAAGGAATTACTGTGTTGAGCCTTTTAATTGTAAGAAAGTAAGTTCTGTGAGTACAAGGGGATGTATTTGTTACTTTCCACTCTATCCCAAATACTTGGTAGAGTGTCTGGCACATAAAAAAACAATAAATATTTGTCCAACAAAGAAAGGAGAAAGAACCATAGAGGAAAATCCGTAGGAAAGACGTATCCAGCTACAAATGTTTCAGACTAAATCCTTAATCCATCTGTGCCTTAATATAAAAGGGCAGCCTTCATTTGAGGCCTAATGGCTGAGGACAATTACGGGGTTGTTTGTTCACTTTATTTGTTTGGCTATTTGTAGTGATACTTTCCTCTTTTGGATTAGTCTAAAGGCATAAAACTTTGGGGCTCTGATGTGGCCCAGGGAGGAAGGAAAAGAAGGGAAAAATCTAAGGAGGACTCTTCCTTTTGGGGAAGAGAAGCTGCCTGCCTGCCCCCCCTGCCCCCCTACACACACACACACACACACACACACACACACACACACACACACAATCTGTAGGGCAGTAATGGCGAACCTTTTGAGCTCGGCGTGTCAGCATTTTGAAAAACCCTAACTTAACTCTGGTGCCGTGTCACATATAGAAATTTTTTGATATTTGCAACCATAGTAAAACGAAGATTTATATTTTTGATATTTATTTTATATATTTAAATGGCATTTAACAAAGAAAAATCAACCAAAAAAATGAGTTTGTGTGTCACCTCTGACATGCGTGTCATAGCTTCACCATCACTGCAGGACCTCAGAAGCACAGCCAGTAGAGGTTACTCTCTGAGGAAACCTGACCTAGACCAGTGACTACTAAGGCAGTGTTAAGTTCTCTTCTGCATTGTACTCCCCGGGATGTCCTTAAAGCCTTAATGAAAGGTATGTTTAAACCACAATTCAGTGTCAGTTGGGGAATTAAGATCTGAGAATGGGGAGTCACAGCAGCGTGGAAGGGCTCCTAGGAGGCAGCTGGATGCAAAGAGCAAAAGGGTCCAGAGCCATCGTCAGAAACGGCCCTGCAAGCACAAACCTCAGTGGATTTGGAAAACAAGTGAGTACTTCCTGAAGCACTTAATGAACACTGGGAGAGAGAATGCAAAATAAGAGTTCTGAGCAGGATTTTGGAAAGAGGCCTTGGAATAAATATTTGGGGTCTTAAAGGTAAACGTGTTTTGCACAGACTGGAAAAGTTGATGTTTGGAGTGAACCTAGTATTTGATAAGAGGACCCAAACCTACTCTGCTTCTCAGATTGGAACTCTGAATTAGTATTTTACTTTCTAGCAGCAAAGTACTGTACTGGATGAAAAGAGATAAAGACATATGTACATATATATAAACACACATACATAAATGAAATAACAATAACATCATTTTATAGCTCTGGTTCACCATCATTAATGGTTGTATGTTTTCTTATTCATTCAGCCATTAATGAATAATTGTTGAATGCCTATAAATCAAGTAGATTTCATTCAGCTATGAGGAACAGAAAATCTCATAGTGCAAGATCAGGATAGCTCAAAAGTGACTGGGAGCTCACTCTAGACAACAAAACATCTGAGACTGGGGCTCCCCTATCTCTCAGCAGGAGAGGTTGCACCCACACAGGCCCCGCACAGGACTCATGGCTTTCTCCATGAGATGGTTTCCTTAATCTCATGGACTTCAAGGCAGCTCTGTTCCCAGAAGCTCCTGGGTGACACCTGGCACCCTCAAAGCTAAGTAGTCTGATTATTATCCTACTGACAAGTTTATACTCAATGTTTGCACTTTCAGGAAAGGAAGAGTGCAGACCCATACTGCATGTTCTGGACATTGCCAGGCTCCTGCACGTTTCCAAGTGTAATGATGGGAAGGTGAGAACTGGTCCTTCTCATATCTTGCCAAGATCGGGTATGTGGGACTGGCTACTAGCATTGGTTTAGTGGTTAGACTACATCAGGGCCAATGTTTCTGTTATTTTCTTTGACTTTTTAAAAATGCTTATTGCCTTGCAATAAGAAGATATCTGCAATTTGCTATCTTAATCAGTAATTTTTAAAATGTAGCTATATGTTTCATTGACTCAAATTGCATTCTTGTTGTGGAGCCTGCAAAGATTAAGGGTGAGCCTGTTTGTCTCTATCGCTCCACTGAAACCACTAATCAATGCAACAAATCATTCCCACATTGCTAAATAAAAAAAGCTAGAGTCCTCATTTCCTCTGACCAGCAGCATTTGACACAGTTGACCTCTCTCCCTGCTTTCTGAGATACTTTTTCACTTGGTTTCAGGATAAAACTCTTCCTTAAGCCTTCTCCTTCCTCACTGGCCACTTCTTCCCAATCTCATTTAGGGGGCCCTCCCAAGCTTCCAGATTCTAAATTCTGGAGGGCCTAAAGACCAGTACTAAGAGCTTTTCTCATTCTTTGAGTGATCTTAATCAGTTTCATGGCTTGTTTCTCTGACAGTGTTAAATTTCTCCCTCCAGTTTTTAAACACCAGGTTTATTTATCCATCTGCCCTTGACTTCCCAGTTAATACTCTAATAAACATCTCAGATTTAATCTGACTAAAACCAAATTCTTTATTCTTTTACTCACACTATTCCTTCAAAGTCCTGCTCCTTCATAGACTTCCCCATCGCAGTACAACAGCCTTTGTTGGGTTTGCAAAGTTTACAATTCCAGAAGGGTTTCCTTCATTAAGTTTCTTTAGTTATCATTATTGCTATGAATCTAACGAGAGCATATTTAGTGAAGTATATTTGCTTTATGTATTAGCTAACTATACAGACATATAGCTATAAATATTATTATGTAATAGTATACATATACATTTAAATAGCAGTATACAATATATAACATAAGATACATATATATACACACACACACACACTACTGCAAAAACACTTACTGAGCTTGGGGACATAAAATTTATGTAGATAGTTCATATTTTGGACTATTGGTTATTGACTTAAAATCCATCGATTTTATTTTTCCTAAATATTTAGGAGAAACATACCTATTTCCTCACTCAATGTAAAAACACAGTGTGACCAAACTAAGGTAGAAACTCTTCTGCAACTGGAAGTACAATTCTGTCTTTTTAATTCTGTGTGCACATTGTTCTTAACTCCCAAGCCTTTTTAATGTTATTTGATTGTTAGAAGGCATAGCTTTGATCTAGAAACTACAACTAATCAATTTATTATTTTAGGCAGAGTTATTTACATTCTTTATTA